CCGGTGGTTATTAAGGGTGTCCTTACGGCAGAAGACTCGCGATTGGCTGTTAATGCCGGTGCGGACGCCATCTTTGTGTCCAATCATGGCGGCCGACAGTTGGACGGATCGCCAGCTACTGTATGTAAACATTCGTTATTATCTATATTGTTATATTAATACCTGGATTACGGTATTAATATAATTTAAAAATTATGAAAAGTAATTTTAATTACAAGTTACAGTTAAGTTTACAAGTAATCCCAAAAGTTTTGTTATGATCCCTATATTTTAAATTAATGCACAAACAATATTTTAAAACATGATCAATATTATTTATACCATACAATAAAAAATTTTAAAATAAACACAAATTTCAGTATTAACAATTTTTAATTTTATAGATTCTATCAAGCTCACTAGTTTAATTTCAAATATACTATAGTTAACAATTTTAAAGATAACTTTAAAATAATGGCAAAAATAAATATCACAGGTCCTTATCAATTCCAATTATAAATTATATATAATTTTTGTGTATAAAAATTAAACTAATAGATTTTAATTTACAGTTTTAACATGTTAATGTCTAAAAATATATCAATTTTAATAGTTGGAGGCCTTACCGGAAATTGTGGCGGAGGTGGGCCGGGAGGTCGACGTCTACCTGGACGGCGGTGTCCGCAGTGGTAGCGATGTATTCAAAGCCCTGGCTTTAGGAGCAAAGGCTGTGTTTGTGGGCCGACCCGTGTGTTGGGGTCTCGTCTATAATGTGAGCCAAAAAATCATTCATAAAATCATATATGAATTGAATTCAAGAATATTCTGTGAATTCCTTTAGGGCTGCGATGGGGTTAAGGCTGTGTTGGATATACTGTACAAAGAATTGGATAATATTATGACAATAGCCGGCTGTCCCACTATAGGTGCCATCACACGATCGCACGTTAGATATGTTGATGAATACGCAATGGGTTTACAAAATTTGTAAATTGTTTTTAGTTAAGTTTATAAGAATTATTTACAATACAGTAATTTGTGCCTGATAACTATTTTCCATGTATAAATGCAATTTGATAAATATAATTATACTTTTATATAAAATGACATTTGCATGATAAAATAAATAAATGCTTATTAAAATTACAAATAAATTAATTAATAAAGACTTTTAAATAATAAAATTATATTTTATTAAATAAATCGCTTGTATAAAAATTATTTAATACATTCTAGTAAAGTATTATGATAATATACGTAATATCACAAAAGTATCAAAGACAATATCCTCTCTTGTAAACCTGTAATAAAAATATTAATTTTAAAAATTATTACGGTACCTTTAAAAATTAAGGACAATTAAATTGTAACTATTTTCTAATTGTAAGTTAGATGACTTATACGAAATTATACAGTTTGATATATTATTAATTAAATTTTATAATTTTTTAATAAGACTTATTATATTTTTCAAAACATGTGTCACCATCTGTAAATAATTTATTTCATTACGTAGACTGCCATCCATGTCCACCTCTCTAGTACCACCTAATTAGTGCACATACCTAACATTTTAATTAATTTTAAATTATTTAATTAAAAAACATCAACACTTAATGTTTTACTGATATTTAATATCCAGCACTTGCATTAATTAAAAGTATTATAATTAAAGTTATCCAATGTATTAAATCAACGTTATGCTCTCTAGTTAGTAATAATATTTTAGATGACCTTGGTAACATAAAATTTGCATAGTGTTATATTAAGCAAAATCATAGTCAAACAGTTTCATATTAACATATCATGATGTATTTATTTTCAAAGTACAGTATATTTCAATTATTAAAAACATTTACACAATAATTTTGAAAAATATTTATTAATTAATTTTAGTAAACAATATTTGTGTACAATACAAAAATAATATATTAATCAAAATATTTATTCATAATATATACAATATAGCTAAAATTAATTCATTATCATTACAAACCGTTGTAAATGTTAGTATTTATAGATTAAACAGTACATGCACCTGTACATCAAATATTGATATGTATGATAAATGTTATTTACTCTATTATATCATAATATGGAAAATATTTATTGCACTTAGCATTGAAAATATTAAATTTGATTATTACCACAAAAATAGTGTATAAAATACAACACAAATTTTGAAATACTACTAATAATTGCCACAAAAATCATGTCATTATTATTGGCGGACATCGAGGCGACCGCTAACGAGAAACTGGATGCCGGGCTCCGGGATTACCTGAATAGGGGTGCCCAGCATGACGTGACACTGGAGGCCAATCGGGAGGCGTTCAATAGGCTACGGATAAGACCCCGATATATGGTTGATGTGTCCAAACGGGACCTAACGGTGCGACTGTTTGGCGATACACTACGGGCGCCGGTATGTGTGGCGCCGTTCGGACTCAACCGCCGGTTCCACTCGAATGGCGAGTTCGAGACCGCGAAGGGTTTGTCATAATTTTCTTTGGCTATAATTTGTGTTTTTAATTTTAATTAATGATAAAAGTGATTTCAAAAATAATTGGCTATACATTGGTGATACCAACAAATTTATATGAATTTTAGAATTGTGCATTTTATAATTAGCTATAATTAAGTTACAATTTTATGTTCACAAAAGTAATTAAAGTTATTATAATACATTATTTATTTAAATTAGTCAAATTAGACATGCTTACTCGTTTTGCTACATTATTCATAATTTGAAAATTAAAACTAAACAATTTGTTACTACATAAGTACAACATTTCCGCAATATTAATATATAACGTTGCTCCGTTTATATTCCGCTATAAATCTTATATTTTATAATAATTAATTATAAACTAATATTTTTACTAACTTACAGTCTTAATAAAGTTATTGATTATACTCCGTATTAACATAAATGTTATAATGATTTACATAAAAATAAAATATTTATGCAAAGTAGAAAATTTTTTATGGTATTTTCTAAAATAAAATTTTAATTCGTACTATGCCACTTATTATTGATTAAGTAATTTTATTTTTTAACACCGGAAGGTGTGTCTCAATGTCAGACAGTAATGGTGGTGAGATTTTTCATTATAATATTGAGTGATATATACCGTACTTATAAATTATATAAAAAATCTCACGAAGTCACACCAACAATTATATTATTTTTCATAACTTAATATATGAATACATGTTTATTACTAACGGGTGTCCCAGCGTATTAGCAGGATTGTAAATTAAAATTAAAAATATTTACAATTATATTTTTCTAACAAAAACTATACCAAACTGTTGGAAATTTATTGATATTTTATGTACGATTCATAAAACATTCATAATTTGTCTACCCTGGTCATAATTATAGGTTTACTGCATGTATGTCTGTTTTTTATGCACAAAATATCGCGAATTATTTACAGCGCTATGAATACAAGCAATGGTTCAATTGATGCGAGCATTCAGTTACAGTCGTATCGACTCGAGTGACTCATTTGAATCATTGCTTGTATTCATAGCGCTGTAAGAA